TCAAGTTTCACTTACTACGAGTTTTACGTCATTTATGAATTTTCCAAAATTAAGTCGCACATTTCGGTCATAGAGTAGGCACTGGCAAAATTCAATTGCGTATCTTTTTACTTCACTTAGGTCCACTCTAAGCAACTGATTTCTTTCCATGTTTTTTACTTGACATAAAACAGCCCCTTACTAAGGCTCACCATTCATTTCATCATGGCGCTTCACTCCTAATGGTCACGACCTTACACCTTAAAAAAGGGTCAGTAATCCGCAAAGGCGGAGCCGCTTGTTGGTAAAATCCACCACGCATCTAAATGTGATTAATCAGATTTTGGATTTTGCATAGATCGCAATACCGTGCAATCCTTAAGGAAGTATGACATACATTCTGGTATGATGTATACTGCACATAAATCCATTGAACTAACGCAACCTAAACATTCCAATTTAGCGTTTTTGAGGTGAACTGGGAAAACTGTAGCTGATTTTAGATTCACTATTCTTTTACAAAATTCTTTTACAAAAAAGTTAGTGAGTCAATTATGGTTATCTACCTCTGGGGGTGCGCATACCTTTTCTTCTTGATTGCATTGATGGTAAGACAGTTGTCGGCAAAAGTTGTATACTGGTAAACTCTACTCGGCTTTCTATCTTATAATTCATCCTTTTTTCTAAAAAGCAAAAGAATGATTTATAGATCACAACAATTATATTACTCATGTAATCTTGATGTCAACAAATGCTGTTTTTCTTTCTAGAGAAAGCCAAGGAAGTTGTCGTTGGTAGGATCCCCTACGGTTACGAGCCGATCAAATGCAAACCTCCATACTGTAATCCCTTCGTGCACCATACCGGAGTTGCGGTTGAAGTTGAACAAGGTAAGCCTTTTTCTTTCCTTTTCAAGCTTCGTTTAGGATTAAAGTATAAGTATTTAATACTAAAAGACAGAGTTGTGGAAAAGATATATCCAAACTAAGTCAATCAAGTCGAAAGACTTCTATTTGACTGAGACACAAGGGCGCCAGCAGGCCTACCCTGTGACGCTCACACTATACTTTACCCTGACTATGAGCGAAATTTCAAACTTTTTGTATCATGTTTAGGTGATGACAGCTTCTTCATCGGTGGTATCGACTTCCCGCTCCCAATTGGCCCTCTCGGCTCTGGTGTACGATTCCCACTTTCTGGAGCTGTAGAAGCGGTAAGCGCCAA